TGTGTGTGTGTGTGTGTGTGTGTGTGTGTGTGTGTGTGTGTGTGTGTGTGTGTGTGTGTGTGTGTATGCGCACCCTTCGCATTTTCAGATGTGATTCAATGTGAAATAACGCTCCAACAGGTGTCAGGTGTGGGAGAAATAAGGTAATTGGAATAACTGTATAAGCAAATGAACAGTCATGCCACGGCTGCTGGGGCATATGCTGTGATTTATTATCTCATTTACCTCCTTTCTCCAGAGGAGGAGAACAGATAAAATCCTGGCGCATCATTGGTCAGATGCAACACCATGACTGTTCCTGTCATGCTCACAGTAACCTTTTCTTGCTACATCATCTCTGCGCTCACACTCACACACCATGGCAACAAAGATCTTTTGAAGCGCTTGGCAACGGCCTCTGAAACGTACAATCCCACATCTTAACTTGACCTGACAATGTCCCCTAACAGCCACTGTTACTACAGAGAGGTCAGGGCTGTCCAACTCAAGTCCATGTCCCATGTTAGGGCACATGAATCACTCAGAGTGCTGCTGTTGCTGCTGCTGCCGGTGCTCTGTGGATGACGATTCACTTGAGATATGATCTGTGCCACTGGTTGCACAACCACAGACGGAAATGTGTGCTCCTTGCTAAGCGTGTTTATTGGGAGAGGGAGACAAATTCAGACAGACAGACGTACGAAAGAGGTGGGCAGACTGATCCACCACACATGAAAACCATTCATGACTGTGCGTGCCAAGTGTCGCTGCTCAACAGATTATAGCCTTAATGGATGACATTCAAAAAAATGTATCTGGCCTAATGTAAGGTGCTTGCCACGTCCACCATTTGAATTATAACTAACAAATCATCTACAGTCGGAAGGATTCGAGACAAAATCTAGCATGCTTCATTGTAACAATCCACTGGATGCCCCCCTCCCTCCTAAATTTAGCCTGCTCACCGACCACCGTGAGTGATGGATTGGATGAGAAAAGGGGCTGTGTATGATTGGCTACACACGCGATTTGCTGTATAACCTCGGGGCATTCGGAGCCCCCCTTATTCAAACGTGACATTCAGACCTGCTTTGTCAACCTGGCGCAAGCTGATTTTGCATTTCTTTCATTCATTCGTTTCTCCTTGTGAATTTAAAGGGGATTACAACAGGCGATTTATGAGAAACCACTTTTTCCCTTCCATTTTACAAGGTCATTATCGCATTTGGAGTAAATTGCAAAAACTCACCATACACTCCTTGACAACGGATGCCGTCCACGATGAGCGCCAACAGCCCCAAAACACAGATAGTTAGATCCATCCTTTTCACGTTAATCTCTGCATATCCAGCTCTCAAAAGCGAGAAGTCCTTTCCGGGGCGGTGTGGCTGAGGTGCATAGACACGGGCACCGCTCCGATCCACACGTAAGACTGATTTAGACCCCGACTCCCCCACCCCTCCCTCCGCCAACTGTTCGCTGTAAAGGTATGTATGGGCGCAGCAGGAGAACAGAGTCAGGTAACGGTCGGTTTAATGGGAAGTGTCACGCAATCCCAAAAAATGCGGAGCGCTCGCGGAGACACAACCACCACGGAGGACGTGGAGAAGCAGGCAGGCGCGGGGAGTGGGGCTGCAGAAAGCCTGGCCTTGGAACAAAAAAAAAACTCTCCTCCACTGCAGGTAGGTGAGCTCCACCGATTCCGTAGACTTTAGCAAAGACCCGCGGGGACACGCAGGTTCTTTCGACTACAAGCGGATTGCGACTCGATACCCACGAACATAGCTCTCTCCACGGCTGCTGCTTCTGCTGCTTACTGCTGCGGTGACTGCGAGCTGTCAAACGAAAGCACCTCCTCTGCTTAATAATAATAATAATAATAATAATAGTAATTATAATGATAATAATAATAAAAACACTGACAGATTTGTCACTTTTCACCTTCTGCGCTTTAAAGTAGTCCAGCTGCTGCTGTATACAGTGGAGGCTCTCGCGCTCACATAGTCACATCCCGACTGCACCCCGATGCCGCGCGCTCGACTCATCTCTCCCGGTGGCAAAAAAAAAAGGAAAAAAAGAAAAGAAAGAAAGGCAAGGGGAGGGGAGGGTCCAGACCGGTCAGGAGCAGCCGGATGGTTTATCCACAGCTCCCCGGCGATGCTTTCGGTTGTCTCGGCGTCACCACACCACTTTTTGGCGATTTCAGGCGACGGTGGGAGCCGGATGTGCCCGCCGTGGTGCCAGTTGAGCAGCGGTCACGTTGCGCAATACGTGCTACGGAGACAGAGTGGCACCGCAACCGGTCTGTAGCTACGTCAAGAGGTGCGTGGCTTCCAGGCGCTCATCTGTATGGGAGGCTTCGCTCAGCGTCAGGAAAGGCATGAGAGGCGCAGCTGCTGGATGCTGAGAGAAGGAGAGAGAGGGGGAGAGAGAGGGAGATGGAAGCATTGGAATTCAAGAGATCTAGCTTTGACAGACCTTTGCAATCACCACCCAAAAACAGTCTACACCGCCGCCTGCTCATGTTTCACCATTCCTCCTTTATCAGACAGGGTGGATGAGGTGCTGTCTGTCATGTAGCACTCATCTGCTACAGCAGACTACTTTTGGCCCGAAATAGTGGGATGTCTGTGTTAGTCTGGTGTATGCAGCTCTTCCTACTGGTGCTGGTGATGCTTCTGCCACAGGCCGACATTTTTTCGGGAACTGTTTATTTTTTTGTTTTTTTTGGCAATGCACAACTTTTTAAGTTTTAAGGAAGTCGGGCTAAGTGGTTCCCAAATGGGGTCCCGGTATAGGCCCTTCGGGCGTCCTGCAGGCAGTTCCGGGGGGGGGGGATTGAGAAAATCTCAGTTTGATGATATTCTATTAGAGTGACTACAAGTGTTCTAAAGAGAGCGAGAGAAAAGACATATCATGCACGTTTACACGTGTTTCACTTTCACCATTGTCACACAGAGGTGGCCATACAGACTATTTCAAAGTACGGGAAATATTATACTGTGAATGAGCCCACTTTATTGTTTTGTGTTTTTTTTCCTGTTAAGTGTTAGTGGTAATATCAAGAGCATGCAGAGACTAAAAGCTGTTTCCTAGCAACACAATTTCAATTAAATGGTTTTAATTAGTATAATATTTTCCCCAGTGGAGAAGTAAATGGTATACTTTTCAGATAAATGGTTAAAGACAGAGGCTCAACAGTATGATCCCTGATCAAACAGGCATAGGGATATGAAGCAAAACCCAGTGAGGCGTCTGCGCAATTTATGATATTAATTAATTAATAATAATTCATTCATTCATTCATTGTGTTTTACATAATTATATAAAAGTAAACCTGATTTCTAAGCTGATTGTTTTCAGATATTTTGTGACCCAAGTTAAAATAGTCAGAATCTAGTTTGTTGTGACAAGTGATTCGTATGAATAAAAGAGTAAAATCTTTGTTTATAGCTAATTTAAAAAGAAATAATATGCTCCATTTGTTGAGACAGAAAAATTCAATTTGAAGCAGCAAGTCTCTCCTCAGCTGGAGCAGCAGCAGTGGGTAGTTTGGCGCCCTCTTCAGGTTTTTAAGACATCTAGACCCAAGCAGTCGTTAAGAGTTATACTCCCTTAATGACTAAGCCCAAATTCTGATTGAGCATGATCAATGCTTATAATAATATCAGGGGTTTCCCCTTGCTTTACAGATGTTTAGCCGAACTGTCAATATCTTGCTATCAGATAAGGAACTGAAAATAAACAATGTGCTCTTTGGAGCTAATACTGGATACATGCCATTCTGAAATTTAAAATTTTGGAATCTAAGTGATTAATCTCATCTAACTTCATTTATCAATTTTACTCACTAGTGCAATGCCAAAAGTAAGCTTTCAGATCTCATTTTCTTCCAGTGGCTGATTTCGATTTGTTTCATTTTGAGGGAAATTGAGGGATCAGGGGGTTTATTATATCTTCAGGACATCAAACCCTCTCTTGATTGATATATTTCCGTCTTTGTAAAATTATGTGCACATCTCATTTTGGAAGGCGTAATAAAAGTTGTCCTTTCATTCT